TTACTTTACTGTTGCAGTCTGAGGAGTTAGGTGACCAGATGTCAGGGGTGATGCGGTCGCAGAAATTGTCTGACAGCCATGTCTGGGTTTCTTTTGCCAGACATAGGATCTTCCAGCAGCCACTCTCTTGACCCGGGCAACACTACCTCCTCATGAGCGCATAAAAAAAATTCCTAAACCGGCCAAGCATAGACATAAATATTAATACAATATGGCAACCATTAATACAGAGTGCTACAGAAGAAAAAAAAAACAATAACAGTGCATTGTAATATGAGCAGTGGTAAAAAATAATTACCGGGACATTATATAATCGAGTATAGTGCGAGATTTTATGACCAGGTTTGGAAGTAAAAAATATGACTGCGCACTATACACAAGTGTTTTTTTTTTAACAGTTTAAAAATCATACATGATCGGTGACTGGTTGCACTATACCCAGGTAACTTTTTTTCTGAAGGAGTTGAAATTCTGTGCTCTACTTAATTAAGTTACTGAATGCTGCCATAATCCTTGCCTTCAGTTCATCTTTGGTGTTACAAGGAGTTTTGTTGGTCTCTCGTTCAACTGAGTCCCACACATAACAATCAAGGGAGTTGCAGTCTAGGGAGTTAGCTGGCCAGATGTAACGGGTGATGTGGTCGCGGAAATTGTCTGAGAGCCATGTCTGGGTTTCTCTTGCCAGACCTAGGATCTTCCAGCAGCCACTCTCTTGACCAATGCCAGCACAAACCTCCTCATCAGCAGATATGCTAGGGGACACAAAAGTCACCTAAGTCGGCCAAGCGGAGGCATAAATACAATAGGGCAAACATAGTGCTAGAGAAAAAAAAAAACAATAACAACGCATTGTAATATGAGAAGTGGTAAAAAAAATAGTTACTGAGACATTATAAGTCCCCCAAATTCATACACTGATATCCCCAGTGGATAAAAGCGTATGTTAAAATAATCCAGTGACTTGACCCAAAGAGTTATGAGTTCAATACCTGGTCACAGCAGAGGGGAACAAAAACTTGAGTTACTAAAAGGATATCTGGAAGAGGCAAGGCACGTGGAACGAGAACAATCCAATGGACGAAATAAAGAGTTCGGTTCTGTTATATAGGAATAAAGTGTCGCTGCCGACATTTGAGTTTGAACATAGTTCGCCAGTGAAAAACACAGGCGATCCCATTATTGAATTAAGTAGATTACGTGATCGTAGAGGAAATGTATATATGGGAATTACCTTGGCGTCTAATTGATCCTCATTTCTAGTCTATCCTCTATTACTATACGGACCACAATTCTCTATATTATTTCTCTACACGGATTACTATTCGGATCTCTATACAGATCACTATTGGGTGGTTACTATTCGAGCGAGTATTATAGAGCAAGTACTACTAGTGAGAGTGTTATTCGAAGGCGTCTGACATCAGTATTGTTCAATGGCGTCACTATAGCTGTATCTGCGATTACAAAGTCTCTACTACAACGAGCATTACGAAAGTGACAACGAATATTTGTTGACATCACAAAAGTGGCAACGAGTGTTCGTTGACATCATAAAAAAGGACATTTGATCAGATTTACACACTTTATGCCGCTAACGAATCTTACCAAAATTGATTTAAAATGAAATGTTACGAACGTTGGAATTGTACTCTAGTTGTTCTCATGGTATCTGGATATATATATATATATATATATATATATATATATATATATATATATATATATATATATATATATAAAAAGAAGGTTCCATTATAATAAGTTATTTCGCCAGAGCCCTTTTAAAGGACGCCGGATCATCAGATAGCACTTCCAAAAATGAAACGAAAAATGAAATGAAAATTGATGGGTAGTGTAAGTTTTTGTAATTTAACAGAGAGGGTAATAAGGAGTGGTTAGAGAGACATGGTAGAGTTTAGAGAGGGTTTAATTTAATATCTCTCTCAATCATACTTAGTACTGGGGGAGGAGAAGTGATCAGACCTTGACCTATTTAAACGGACTACCCATACGGATTACCAAGTTTTTCATAACTATATATATATATAATGTACTGAAGACAGCTTTCAAGCATGAAACAGACTGTCGCCACTCGTTATTACCCCCAATATCAATTTTATATTTACATACGCTCTATGCCTGATACTGAGCATGTTTACCCATAAATATAGCATGCCTTGAACCTATATTTTTATCATAAATACACACACACTCACACACACACACACACACACACACACATATATATATATATATATATATATATATATATATAATGAAATGAATTAAGTCCAACAATTATTTAATATATTTTCTGTTTATACTATTTCTTTAGAACATTTACTTAAACAAATTGTATCTATAAAAATAACGTAAAACAGAATATATATATATATATATATATATAGTTGAATGATGAATGGATATGAGTTTATGACCCCGGGTTTCACGCTTATGCTATTTTCAGGCAAACACCTGCGATAGGGATTGGCTAACCGCCCTAGTAGACTACACCAGTTTATGTCTGAGTGCGGTTAGCTGCCACTATAGGGTTCATGACCTTTTATAAAAAGTAATTTTTAATTTTTGCTTCTTCGCGTAGTTTAAATTTAACTTAGGTCATATTCAATTTGTTGATCAAAGAAAAGCCCACAAACTTTAAAACCCGCCCTTTTTTCTTTTTCTCATAAAAAGAGGTTGTATTTTGCTGTTAAATCTAAATAAATCGTTCACTCGCCAGTAATTTACAATCGCCTGATGAGATGCATTGATACGCATTGAAACACGACTGCAATTGTGTAGCGTTTTTTTTTTTTTACATGTTTTCAGTGTAATATCCTGAAATAAATAATATTGCTTTATTTTTTTTATTTTTATCTTTTTTTATTTTATAAAATTTTTTTCTTATCAAGGGCTAGAACCCCTAATAACTTCCGCGATCGGTGTGATCTGTGCATGGCGGAAAAAAATTTTATTATTAAAGATAAGAATCAAGATGTGTTGCTAAATCTTCGTAGTGAGCTCTTTTCTAAATGCAGACGTAAGAAACGATTCAAAACATAAACGCAGTTTTATAACGCGTTGTCACTTATGTCCGTTCCATCTTGGTTCAATAACATCGGGCATGACATTTTAATGGAATGACTATTATGTTTATCTCTATATGTATGTTTGTGTATGTTTATGTGATGCGCTATGTATTTATTTATTTATTTTTTGTTTTTGTTAATCTTTATTCATGTGGTGATATATGTGTAAGTGGATATGTAGGTAGAAGATTTCCTTAATAACTGATATGCAAAATCAGATAATCTTATATTTATATACCTATAGGTATATATGTAAATGTAAGAGATAGATACGCGTAATCACTCAGCCGGTTTTTAATATTTTTAATATTCTTAACGTTGTCTTCCCCAAAGTTGTTGAAGTATAAATTAATTCAATTCCACCCGTATATTTTCATATGTTAAATGTATACATGGACGGATATGGTCCCCTAAAATTTTTTGTTTTTGAGACAAAATTTTAATTTTTTTTTAAATTTTACATTTGATTTATATATAGATATGTATACGTGCGTACATGTGTGTGTATGTCTGTATATGTGTATAATATATATATATATATATATATATATACACGTATATGGATGGATGTATATATATATATTAGCTTCTATTTTTGAAACATGGTTGGAACTGTGTAGCGAAAAAACCCATATTTTAAATCAATTAATTTATAATATATATATATATATATATATATATTTGGTTGGATAGATGTGAGTTTGTGACCCTGGGTTTCACGCTTTAGCGATCGTCAGGGTCACAAACTCACATCTATCCAACAAATATGTTAGCGCTATCCAACCAAATATGTTAGCTCTATCTCTGATATTGAGCGCTTTCTAATAAGTACCGCATATATAATATATAAATAATTATATATATATATATTTATTTATATTTATATACACTTTTCACATATATATATATATATATATATATATATATATATATATATATACACGTATATGGATGGATGTATATGCAGGTAGATGTGTATGTAGATGTGTTTATATAAGTTTATATATGTGTGTGTGTGTGTATGTTTAGGTATGTATGTATTCATGTATATCTGTATATGGGTGTATATGTATGTATGTATGTATGTATAGTTAAATGGATAGATATAGGGATACATTGGTTATTTGTTTAGATGGGTGTGTGTAAGTAATTGTTTTGAGATGTGTAATGTACGTATGTACATGTATGTATATGTACGTATGTATATATGTGTGTAAATGTGTATACATATGTAGGAGTGGATGTGTATGGATGTATGCGCATATGTATGCATGTATGTATGTATGCGTGTGTATATATATTAGGTTGGTGCAAAAATAATGACGTAATGACGTTTTTGACGTTAAAAATACGTCAAAAAACGACATTATTACGTCATTATTTTTGCACCAACCTAATATATATATATATATATATATATATATATATATATATATATATATATATGTGTATGTGTGCCTATATGTATGCATGCACGTGTAAATATAAATATGTTGTTGTGTATGTGTGTATACGTTTGTGTTTTGAACATAGAAATATAGGTCCTTGCTAGATTAGATAATCGTTATATTTTTATATGTTTATATTAGATTTGTAACCTGTAGTCGATATTACTTTTGTCAAATTTTCTTGATTACAGAGCGGCTCTTTTTCTTTTCTTTTCTTTTCCTCTCCCTCTCTCATCTTCTGATTTTTAAGATTATATCGTCTATTGTGTGTGTATGTCATCACAAAATGTATACTTTTTCCGGTAAATCTTTAACTAGCAGTAGAGCCCGGCGTTGCCCGGGGGGTGTAACAGTAAGAGATAGATCAAGTATCGACCATCATAAAGACTGAAAAATAAAATTGACTAAGATTATTGTTTAAGGTTGACGGACACGCATGTCTTAATTAGTTTTTTTGGTTTTT